TCAGTGACTGAAAACTTTGTGCATGCGCGCTCCAAACCAGGGCCGACTTGCTAGAAACAGCGTCTCAGCTGAGACGGGGAAAGAAAGCACTGCCAAAGTTAGCGCACAAGCTGAGCGGGACTCCAAGTCTCAAGACGCTCGCGCGCCCCACACTTCGCACTGTTTTCTTTCAGCCAGTCCCAGGGCGCTGTTCGAGCAAGCCGGCCCAGAGCGAACAAACATCAGCAGTGCATGCAAATGCATGGGCACGAGCGCGTGGCTTTGGAAAGTGCCTCCTATGCACGAGTTCTCGTACAAACAAAAGCGTTTTGCTGAGCGAGGCTCACGCGCCTGTACCTTTGTCTTCACTGCCGACATTTGTGGGTGGAGTAGAGAGGCCGAGATTGAACGCTTCTATTTCACGCTTTAAATATCATTTGCAATATTGTGACGTCGCGGTCTCCTGATTGGTCGACGTGGTGTCACAAATTTAGTATACGCTTTAACCGCTCACTCACACTGGAAGCGGATCCACGTTCGCAAAGCGGTTGCGAACGCGGTTGTATAAAGATCCAGTGCAATTGCACGCGCACTCGATGATATCAAGTGAGCGTAGAATTTTACTGGATCTTTATACAACCGCGTTCGCAACCGCTTTGCGAACGCGGATCTGCTTCCAGTGTGAATGAGCGGTAAGTGTGAGGGGAATATTCGGCGCTGCTCGGCTTTTGCTCCGCCTATTGGCCGAACTCTCCCAATACTCGGCTCTGCCGGGAGCCAGCCGGGAGCTCGACTGAAGCATAACCTGGTGATAAAATGTTGACGGCAATAAATTGTTTAGAAAAGTAGTGGCGCAACAAAGTCGACCAATGATAAAACTAATGACCGGCAAAAAACGGTTCCTAATATTCGAGGGCAGCTTTTCTTGGCATTGCAGTCAAAACTACAAAAATTTTCAGAAACGGAAGTCGTACAGGAAAAGCGTAATGTTACGAAAATAATTGTGCGTGAGACAGTTGGGATAAAAACCTCCAGCTACTTTATTAGCCAAGCGTCCTTGCAGCTTCGAAGTTTGGCCAAAAAGTTTCTGCGATTGCAATTGTTTTTCTAAATGATTTACTCATGGATGCGCATCTGTATTGAGTGCTGACTTTTATTTTTTATATTTAAAATTTTTCTGCAGGGTGTAGATTTGTAGGGTTTGTTCTCCTTCCCTTTGCGTATGCAGTGTTGATCGGGTTTCGGTGACCTGTAGGGTGCGTCGGTGGAGATCAGGGGAAAAGGAGCTATACTCCGCGACAACTTTTCTTGGCAATGCAGTGGAAGGTACGGGCCTGCGTTTCCTCTCCCCTTTTTAGCGCTGAGTAAAGCTGTGCGCGGGCTCTCCTCCTCTCCCCGGAAATGGGGAGAGGAGGAGAGCCTGCGGACAACTTTACTGCGCTCAAAATGAGAGAGGGAACTCGTGCCTGTACCTTCCACTGCACTGCGCAGAAAAGTTGTCCCGGAGTATAGATCCAGATGAGCAGAGAAACCAGTAGTCCCGCGGCAAGTTTTCCGTTCACGAGTGGGATTGTGACGAGTGGGCCACTTCCCGAACCCTTCGTACCGGAAGAAGGATTGTAGGGTATCTTTTGCTCCCCACTGTGGTTATTATGTTTCATAGTAATCTTTGAGCTCTTCGTTTGTGTGTTCATATGTAAAGGCTGTTCGGCTTCTTAATGTGTAGGCAGCGTTGGTGTGTTGGTGACGACCTTGGAAGTAGGATACATAGGGCGTGGGTAAAATAAAAAAGTATAGCTAGGTTTGGAGACTGCCTGTACAGTTGTTTCCTCTCTCCTACAGAAAATTTATTCCCCTTTGATTCCACGGTGAAGGTTTCTGGTTTCAACCATCATGCTTAAAGAATACTGAATGTGTTTTAGAGTGCAGCTCTTAGGCACTTGTTCCCGGCTTGAGCTGCGTCGGCGTCACCGTCGGCGTAGCTGCCCGTCACATTATGAGAAACGTCCCATATTGACGTCGCACGGGACGTCACGAGGATCATGAGTGACACCACGAGGGTCACTAGAGTCACGAGTGACGCCACGACGGGGAAAGCAGAGAGGGGGAAGACGAGGAGGATAGAAGGTGAATGAAGGAGGGGGAGCGAGAAAGAGGGGAGGAGGAGGAGAAGGAGAGGCATACCCGTTTTTCGTACCCTCCCCTCCTCCTCCTGAAAACCTGCGCTCTAAATCGGCACTACAGTGAGTTGTAAAAGTCTTTCCTTTTTTTTAAGAAATTTCACAATTTTCTGTTTTTTTTTGTTTTTTTTTTATCTTGCATTTAAAGTTGTTTATTCCTAAATAGCTTTAAAGAGGCCGTGCAGCAATGTTTGGACTTCGGTGAAATAATTGTGGAAGTTGTCCCCTGTCACATCTGGATTAAAAAAAAAACTGAAAACAAATTTTGCCCACGCGCGTTACGCATTCAGAAATAAAATGTCAAACGGTTCACATTATGGGCGCCTTCACACCAACCTCGACTCGTACAACGTCTTCCAAGTCACGTGCGCAGTGACGCGCAATGGGGATCGGAAAGAACCGATTGTGTTCTTCTTCAGAGCCTCCAGCGCCCGCGGCTTCTGCTTGTGATTCACATGGCGACCTGGAAGGTTGGTCTGGGCGATGTGGAGAAGGGGAGAGGGGGAGAGAAGGGCAGAGCATAGCCAAGCGGCACGAATTTTGGCCAAGCAATGTCCAAAGTCTGGCAATGGTCTTTTGGCCAGTGGGCAGAGAGTAGCCATTCATTGGCCAATGCTTGGCCGATGGCTGATGGCCAGTGGCCATTGGCCAATGGCCAGATAAAGGCCAGGCCCTGGCCAGTCTCTGGCCACTGTCTGGCCACTTGGCCAAGGACCATTTCCAGCCATTGGCCGATGACTGGCCAACTCTGTGCTGCTTGGGTAGAGCTTGCCTTTTTGTAAGCAAGTTCGACGACGTACTAACACAACGAGGGGAGGCTCAAGCAGGTGGCGCCACTAAAACTGAAAATAGCTCAACTTAATAACATGAGGTTTTGACGTATTTACTTATGTTGACACAAGAATATTGATCATATATGGCATCATATTGAGCCGCTAATTGCACATCCCGCCAACCTATTACATTAAACCCAATGCGCGTCCCGCCTTAGTTCCCGTGGCCGCCACGTCGCAGCTGCGAATCGCGAAGTATTTCCGTTCTTTTCTTTGCTATTACGCAACGGGATCGGGATATTTCAAAAGAATGAGGCGGTTTCTCCGTTTCTTCGGTAAGATAAACAATGTAAAATTTAAAATTGCAGTTTTTTTGGAAGTTAATATTGTTGCATCGCCCCTTTAAGTGACAATAAGAATATACTATTTTTATATCAATAACATTTGTTTCAAGGAAGACTCAAAATTCCTTAAAATCAAATGTTGAGAAAAAAATGAGACGTTTATAACTCCTTTAATGCCGAATAAGAGCGAAGCTCTCCAGGTAAACGAGGGGAGGGAACGGAGAGGAGGTTCTCCCCTCCTTCTCCTTCGTACCCTCTCCTCCTCCTCTCCTCCCCCTCCCCTCCTTCTTCCTCTCCCACTCCTCCATCATCTTCCTCTCATTCTCCTCCCCTCCTCCTCCCCATTCGTCCTCTCCTCCCTGCCTCCACCGACGTGCGTCACTTGTGACCTGACGTCCCTCGTGATCGTAGTGTTGGGTACAACAACTATTTATTTATCAAAATGTACAACAGGTGGCAGTAGTATAAATATTTGTTCTATGCAACGATAGATGGCGACACTTGCTCACATATGGCCCTTAAAAAAAGCGAGAAACAGCTAATTAGCACGGAAACACTGGCACGTAACCCTTAAAACGTTGCGAGCTTTTTTTTTTTTTTTTTCTTTCTTGTTTAAAAATCAGTGTCATAGTCCCCAAGGTGACGTGGACGTCTTGTAGCACGTCTTGGGCGGCTCACTTCGGTTGGGAGGGGCGGTGTTTCCTCTTGCTCCGTGAATATGTCCGGGGCCAGGTTCAGCTGTGCTCGGCCTTCGAAGTGCTTCAAGGTCTGGACGTGGACGATCTTGTCTTCTGTACTGCCGACTTTTCGGATACGGTAGCACACTGTACCAACAGGGCGGATGACTTCGAATGGTCCTTTAAAGTGCGGTATTAGTTTGTGATCACTGGCTTGCGGCCAGCTGTACGGTACCAAGTCTCCGGGATTGAACTTGTGGTCATTGCGATGCAGGTCAAAGCGTCGCTTGCTTGCTTGGTGAGACTGTAGGAGGTTTGTGGTAGCATCAGTCCGTGCAGCGTGCAAAATGTCGAGTTGACCCTCACGGGAGTCGTCCGATGTTATAGTTCCAATGTGAAGTTCCCTCGGGAGGCGAGGTTGATACCCGTGCAAAAGAAAAAATGGAGTCTACCCTGTGGAGCTTTGCTCTGCGGTGTTGATTGCCAGCAATGCACTGGGCAAGTGCTGGTGCCATGTCTGCGGGTTCCTGAAAGCGAGTTTCTTCCGCATGTTCACTAAAGTTGCATTGGCCCTTTCGACAAGTCCGTTTGCTTGTGGGGTGTACGGAGGTGTGAGATGGTGCTCGATGCCATACTTCTTGAAGAACTGCTGTGTTGTGTGGCAGGCAAATGCGGGTCCATTGTCGGAAATGTACACGCATGGCGGTCCAAAACGTTGAATAAAATCTTGTTCGATGGTTTCAATGAGATGTGCTGCCGACAACGAACACGTGGCTCTTGCCAGAAGGTAACGAGTGGCGTGATCAATCTGTACGAACACGTGGGTGTTTCCAGCCTCCATTTGGGGCAGTGAGACAACATGATCGCCTAAGACGCATTCCCATGGCGTTGAAGGAATCGGGAGGGCTCCCAATTTTTCATTGGCGAGTGTGGTTCGACGGTTTGTTCGTTGACATGCTTCACAGCTCTGAACATTGGCTCTGACGTCTTTGCGTAGTGTTGACCACCAGTGCCTCGAGCGTACTCGTTCGAGCGTTTTCTCACTGTTCAGATGGCCACTTTCGTCATGACAAAGGAGGAGTACATGGAGCGCAATGCAAATGGAAGGACGAGTTGTTCTCTCCTATGGCTTCCAACTGTTGTCACGTGAGTTAGCGCCGAGTTTGATAACTTGAAGGAGTTATGAATTTGCTTCAGATGATGCGTGTCGAGCTGTTTCTGTAGCTTGTCAAGGACTTGGTGGCAGTACTCATCAGTCTGCTGAGTGCGAACCAGCTTTGAATCTTGTGATGTTAGCACGGCGAGACATGCTTGGGGAGGGAGAGGGTAGCGGGACAAATGGTCAGCGGTGACATTTTCCTTGCCCGGCCTGTGGAGGGCGCTAAAATTGAAGGCTGCCAGGTCAACAATGTAGCGTGCAAACTTGGGGTTCAGCTTGGCTTTGTTCACTGCGTACGCCACAGTGAAATTGTCAGTGCTGAGCACAAAGTTGTGACCATGCAGGTACAGACGGAACTTTTCGGTCACAGCCCAATATACAGCAGTACATTCAAGCTCATTGATGTGGTATCTCTTTTCTGCGTCTTTGAGGGATCTGCTGGCATATTCTATGACACGTCTTTTGCCATTCTGGCCTTGCGAGAGCCAGGCTCTAAGGCCTTCATGTGACGCATCCTTCTCGAGATACGTCTGACATTTTTGCTTGAAGAAGGACAGAAATGGCGGCGAAGTGATCTTCATCTTGAGTGACTCGAAGGATTCCTGCTGAGTATATTCGAAGGCAAGCTGAAGTGTTTGAGTGGGCTTTTCTTTGTTCTTTCCTTTGCTCGTGGTCTTCTTCAGAAGTTGATTAAGCGGTCTTGCAATCATTGCGAAGTTCTCTATATGTTTGCGAAACGTGTTCGCAAATCTAAGGAAGCTGCGAACCTCATGTATGGACGTCAGTGTAGCATACCGAGATACAGCAGATGTGCGATCAGGGTCTGGCAGTATGCGTTCTGTTGTCAACACTCTTCCGAGGAGCGTGATGGTTGGCGAGGCGAAGACACACTTGGTCGGCGAGAGTGGGAAATTCATGCTTCGTGTGGCCTTGAATATCTCGCGGAGGCATTTGATGTGGTCTTCGAAACTGTTGTGCGCGCAGGCAATGTCGTCGATGTAGGTGACAACACCTAGTTTGCGAAGGTGCGAATATGCCAATTTGATGGTTCTTGTCATGATCGGTGGTCCGTTCTTGAGCCCAAAAGTCATTCGTAGAAACTCTCCGTGGTGGTCTTGGGTGACGAAGGCTGTTTTGTGCACGTAGTCTTCTTTCAATTTGTTTGTGAAAAATGCACTCTTGATGTCCATGTTAGACATGAAACGAGAACCTGAAATTGCATGAAATGCGTCTTCCACGCAATCGACTGGTTGTGGATCTGCGACAGTGATCGGATTGATTGTGCGGGAATAGTCAACGACTAGACGTCGAGGTGTTGTGTAATGAAAAGGCTGGTCCACTACGAAGGCCGGCGATGCGTACATAGATGTGGACGGGCGGGCGGCGACGACAGATGTCTTGTTTCCTCCAAGTTTGCACTTGGTTTTCGAGGAACTGTCGGTCAGGCTGCGGGAGGAGGTAGGGTTGGCGGCGAACTGGTCAGGAGTGTTCTAGGTTAGTACTGAGTTCCACATAGGGGCACTCACCAATCTTCGCCTGGTCTGCGAAAATATCTTCATACTCTTTTACAAGAGAGCAGAGTTCTTCTTGCTCGGTTGCGGAAAGAGAAGCATGTATGGTCACTTTATCCGTGATTGTCTCGGTGTTGGGTGCAGATGGACTCGGATGATCCACGGGCATACGTTCTCCGGAAGTCGTGATTTGCGGTAGCGGCTCTGTTGACTTGGTTGTGCACAAGGTCTCTGTTGTGGCCCTGGGTGCTAGTGCCACATCACTTTGCAGTGATGCCTCCATTGGCCTGGATTTGAAGATGCAGTTTGCGGTGAGCGTTTGGGCATTGAAGCGCGTGAATTCCTGAATGGATGTCGGTGACGTGATGCAGAAGCTTCCGTCTGCTTCAATGATGCACAGGGCCTGGACAAACCATTTCCAGTCATTACCCAAAACAAGGGTAACAGGCAGGTGTTCACAAAGTCCCATTTGTGGCATGGTGTAATCAATGTTCCCAACTGTGACACGCAGGGTGATCCATCCGGGGCGTGTAATGGGTCCTGCTGCTGTCTCGATTGGTCCGTTTGGCCATTTGAACACTGGTAGTTCGGGTGGTGCGACATGCTTTTGGATTAGCGTGACTTCTGATCCACAATCACAGAGAGCGTTCACTGTTATTGTGCCGTTAATGATGGCGTTGACGATCTGTGCGCGAGGACCTTCGGTGTACAAGCAGTTCACAGAGTAGCGGGCATTTGGTTTCTTCGTGTCCTGGGTTGAACCACTGGCACCATTCTCACTTGGAGAACGAGGAAGGAGTCTGTTGCTGGCATGGTTGTGGTGGGCTGTACCAGCTTCATTACTGCGGCTTTGGTGTGCATTCCTTTGGTGTGTCGGTGTAGCAGTTTCACCGTCGGCTGGTGCTCCGAGTGCACTACCTGCTTCTGGAGGTGGAAGATGACACTGATCTGAGATGTGCCCTTTTTTTCCGCATCTCCAGCAGTGCAGATCTTCGGTCTTGTCGCCTGACTTTGGGTTGAACTTGTGAAGAAATGGCTTCTCTCTTGTTCCTGCGTCTTTCCTGTCGTTGCTTCCTTTTTTTTCCACTTGTCGCAGCGAGTCGAGTGTTGCTGCTCTGTCGACTAATTCTGTCACGGAGGAGTAGAGCTGAGAGGCAAGCGGGATCGACCATTTTGTGTCCTTGATGACGCCGATGATCATCGATATGCGTTCCTCGGGGGTCAGGGGATGTGGAGACTTGTCGAGGAGGGCGTCCTTCTCGAAAATGTACTGGACCAGGATCTCGTTCCTCCTTAGTGTCCTCTTTGCCTGTAGCTCGATGAAGTCCTTCATCGAAAGTCGTCGTCGAAACCTTTCAATGAGAACTCGTTTCCACTCTTCCCACTCGTGGTGGTGTTTTCCGTTCGTCTTTTGCCAGTTGGCTGCAAGGCCTGAGAGTCGAGATGTAGCGTTCAGGAGCGTCAGTGCGGGGGTTCATAACGCTTGAGCTGCGATCCGTTCCACATCTTGGGTCCATTGTTTAGCGCCGTCCAACGGATCACCGATAAATTTGGGGATCGGATTCGCGGTATCCGCCGTTGATGTAATTTGTACCGGCCGTCTTTGGCTTCCGGCCAGCTGTTGTACTGTTAGAGCGAGTTGAGCGACGATGTTGGTCAGACTTTGGATGTCCGTCGGTTTCATTTTCGGCGGATACGTCGGCTAGGCTTAATGTGGTTGACGACGAGCAGAAAAGGTGTCACATACTTGCAGTTTCACGAAGTCATCGGAGGTCTTGGCGAGTGTTTCCGGGGTCGTTTGTCAAGTTTCCGATGTCCGGGCACTAAATCCTTCTTGCGAGCGGGATCTTGAAGGATTAGCGTTGCTGTCCGCCGTAACGGTTGCGGCGATTCTGGTGGGAAATTGCACTTCGACGGCGGCTGGTGAAGATGCGACGATGTGGAGCGTTCGCTCACTTTGCGATGGCGACTTGCGGGAGGCGGGGCACTTCGGCGGTCTGTTTTCGTTGAGGTGCCTTACATTTTTTTCGTAGTTGTTGCCGAATTGTTTCGCGACGAACAAGGCTCGCTATGCCGACCACGCCATGTTGGGTATAACAACTATTTATTTAACAAAATGTACAACAGGTGGCAGTAGTATAAATATTTGTTCTATGCAACGATAGATGGCGACACTTGCTCACAGTAGTGACCATCGTGACGTCATTTGTGACGGTCGTAACATTCGATGTCACCTTCACGAGTGACCTTCACTGTGAAGGTTGTGACCTTCATCATAACCTTCACGAGTGAACCTCGTAACGTCACTCGAATCTTCGTGATCGCCATGACGTCACTTGTGACCCTCATGACGTCACTCCTGACGCTCGTGACGTCACGCGTGATGTCACGTGCGACATCATGAGGGCAAACGTCCCATGATGCATCGCGCGGGACCCTCGAGACGTCATTCGTGACTCTCGTGACGTCATTATTGGAATGCAATGCGCGGTTACGCTCACTGCGACGCCGACGCCGCTTAAGCCGGAAATGGGCACCTAAAAGCTGCGCTAAAAAAAAAACACTTTACGGACACAAACTTTCAGCCATGGCGGACGTCAGGAATTACAAGAAAATACCAATTAACTGAATGTTTAGTAAGAATAAATTAATTATTTTAGAGTGCCGCTCACAGGCGCCCGTTTCCGAGTTAAGCAGAATCGCCGTTATCGTTGGAGTAACCGCGCGGTTCATTGTGGGACGTTTCCCATAATGACGTCACGCGTGACATCCCGTATCATGTCACGAGGCTAAAATTTTCCCGCTATATTTGGTGAGAAATTTTCCGCTAAATTTAACGATGAATTTTTTCGCTAAATTTAGCTGGGGTACTTTCGCTAGATTTAGCGGAATATATAGCGAAAATTCACCGCTAAGTGGGACTGGAGCAGAAGACGAGGTGAGGGTGTATAGAGGGGGAAGAAGACATACCCTCCACTCCGAGCCCTTCCCTCTTCCTTCTCAAAAGCTGCGCTCTAATTCGGCATTACAAAGAATGGTAAACGTCTTTATTTTTTTTTTATTTCTTAAAATAAACGCATGGTTCCAATTAGAAAATTGCTAAGCATTATCGAAAACAACTTGATCAACTCATTTTAGAAATATGTAAGTCAAATAGAGCAAATTACGAAGTTCTGAAACAAAAACGCAAACGCACTAAATTTGGACGCGTTTCGAGGGTTCGGTCTCCCATCTGAGAGGACCTTAGTGTTAGCGGCCCTGGACCCACGTGATAGAGGCGCTCAGCTATCGACTCGCCTCTCTCATGGGATGGAAGCAAATTTGGCGGACGTGTGTTGCGCGCCTCTTACACAGGGACCGCAGGAGCAAAGATGAGCTCCGATTGAAAAGTCAAACCTAGAAACGCGATCAGATCTAGTGTTTTTGTCGCTGTACCGTGAAATGCTTTCTGTGCTCATATTTTCCTAAAGAGGTTTTGATAATGCTCAGAAATTTTCAAATAACAATCATGTTTTTAGTTTATCTAATACGAAATTTCATCAGTATATTGTATGTAAGCATTCTGCTAATTATTTTGTTGTTGAAAATGTCTGACGTCCCCCATGGTTGACAGTTTCCTCCCGTATAATTTATTTTTTTCTAAGCCCCCTGTTTTAGGAGTTGTTCAAAGTCTTCGTTGAAATGCCCCTTATAATGCATGGTTCAAGTGTAGAGATACACAATTATGATCCCCCAGAATAGGCAAATTATCGTCGAAGGCCAGACATTGGCCGATGTCTGGCTATGGTCTTTTGGCCAACGGCCAAAGAATAGCTATTCATCCGCCAATGCTTCGCCGATGGCTGATGGCCAGTGACGAGAAAAAAGAAAGTCATCGGCCATTGGCTGGAACTGTCTGGCAACTGGCCAAAGGATCTTTGCCGGCCATTGGCCAGTGATTGGCCAAATCTGTGCTGCTTGGGTAGCTTGATTATTTTTTTTTATATTTAAAAATAAATACAGAATGTGTAACAAATTTGCTCGTTGGTTATTGTTTGAAAAGTAATGTACGAAGTTTATTTTCGTCCGATCGATATTTTAGCATACCCACACTCCCCAATAAAGACAATCGCCTAATCCTCAAAATGTATTTGTTCTAGAAATCAAAAACTGGAAAACAAGAAACCTTAAACGGCCACACCAAACGTGATGCAACTGTCAGTTGAAGATGTCTTAATCTTTAAAAGAAGTGCTTCAGCAGATTTACTATCAGTCTATGTACTTTTTGCCCATTTGCTTCGTGAGCTTTGCTTGTAACACAATACCCAAGTAGAACAAGAAGTGGGGCCCACGTGGGTACCAGCTCTTGTGCAACTTTGGTAGTTGTAAGCGAAGCGCTTTAAAGGTATACTGAAGTGAAAAATGAAAAATTCCTTCACTTTCCGAGACCAGTTATACAGGATCGAAAATATATGCTAAATGACAATCGCACGTTTGTATTTGAACGAATGGCTATATTTTCGTTCCAAACCGCCGTTTCCATCGAGCGCTCGAAGAGTAGCTGTCGGAGAGCGCAATACGTCTCCGCAGATCCTGCGATTCAAGCGCGCTCGTGACGTCATGTTAACCTTCACAGGCAAAACAATGGGGCAGCTGACGCAGCTGTGAGCTCCGCCAGATGGTAATATCAACGCGCTACACTTGGCAGTTCCGGATGCCTTTCCTCCGCTTTCCACAGGAGTTCAATAGGTTCGGGAAAGAGGTGAAATCCGCTTTGGACAAGTTTGACAGGGAGTGGCGCCCGCGCAGCTTGCCGCTCTACTTCAGCCGAGCGATGCTGCTTTAAAGGGGCGGTGCAAGGATATTCAATTGGAATGTTTTTCACTGTACACGAGCTTCCTGCCACTAGTGGGACTCAAGGATACTCGCACGAAAAGCCATTGACCAAAAAACTGCCTTGTTGCGCTGTAATTTCGAGGACAAAACCAAGTGTTTTCATTCAATCTCTCCTTCGCAAAACCTGATGAGGTAGCTGGGCGGTAGCAGTACCGCCCAGTCACGATATTTGAACGCGGCTCATAGATTGGACCCGAGCATGGTTCGGACACTCGATTTGGGCTCGTGATAATCGATAGCTCGAGGCGCATCCGGGTAGTGTCCTGTGTCCAATCGCTCCAATGACGACAACAGCCGAACCATAACAATGTCAGGAACTCAGCGCGTGTCCTGTGCCTTGCCAACCCAAGCGCATGGCTATGATCAACATTGGCGGCATATAATCGGCTCTAGATCACGTAGCCGCTTGTTCTGGCTGCGAGTTGAGGGGCTGAACTCTGCTTGTTTTTATTTATTTCTTTTTGTGACTTCGATTGTGTGTGTTGAAAAACGAACGGGTATTCCACAGGTCATTAACATCAGGGATCCGTTTGTAGCGGTATTTGGGCAAAATACAAAAATCGTTGCATCGCCCCTTTAATGAGAAGGGAAGCGCAGCGGCATTCGGTTTATTCATTATGAATACAAATATTGTGTTATTTTTTTTACTTTTAACAAATATTGGGAGTTTTCGCGGTGTGTCCACAACGTGGGTGATATTTAGACAATAAAATACATACTACAATTTCGTTGCAGTTCCTCTTTAGGGGTATTAACTATGGAGACAAGTCCCTCCCTTTGCCTTCCGGGACGCGCATCACGTTGTAACAACCTCACGCCTTTGTGAGGAGCCACGTTGAAGGAATCCTCACATATGGATGGTAGAGCTTTTTGCTGGTGCTTCACAAACAGTCCCCGCCTGACTGGGGACCTCTTCGCAGTTGGCGGTATTTTGTACGGGTTTTCGCCAACCCTACAGATTTTGTTCTGCACGATACCGCCGGTGGCATCAGTATTGCATAACGTGTTGTAGCCCGCCTTTTAAAACACGTATACAGAAATATTGAGGTTGTTATTAAATGGGAAGCCGAAATAACAAAATCGGCAGAAATAAAACGAAGACTTGGGCATGGTGTTCCTCTATCACTTCTAGTTCTTCTGATATTCCTGAGTAAAATGAAAAAGAAATGGGAAGAGTGAAGTTTAGATTTTGAGCGGTCAAATGTGTAGAGAGAGGGAAAAGTAAACAAACTTATACCAGAAATGTTTTAAGCAGACGTCACTGTACTGTTAGCAGGTAGCTGAGATATGTTAAGATATGTAAAGAGGAAGGAGACTCCCTGGAGCCTGCAATTCAGTAGCGACAAGTCAGGGTTAATAGATTATAATGGTGAGAAGAGGGACTTACTGAAACTTCAAGGCGTTCTCAAAGAACACGTAGAGAAGTATAAATACTTAAGATTATGGATGAATGAGACAGAACTATGCTTTGAAGAACAGGAACAAAATATGCTGAAGCAAATCAAATGGTACGAAGCAATTATGGAACATACGACACTGCGGAATTACACTAGATATGAAGCTGTTGGGAATATGGAAAGGAGTCATGTTTCCAGGATTCTCTTTTAGGAATGCGGTATGATGCATAAAATAAAATACACCAAATGAAAGAGTACAGAAATACATGGGCTGGGCATCTTTCCAGGTTAGAGAGGCGATGGGTTGGTTGGTATTTGAAGAAAGGCTAAAAAATGGAAGATATACGATGGGCGAGAAATGTATATAGTATCTATACATGAAAAACATTTAAAACCAAATGGAAGTACCAAA